CACAGGTATTAAGAGAGCTCAGGTGATCTGTGCAGCACCTGGGCTTTTGCCCTCTGACCAGACAAGGAGACTTCACTGTACGGAAAATCTCACTGAATCCACATTTCTATTCTTAGAAGTGCTGTGAATATATTAATAAATGTGTGATTATTTGTGTAGATGTATTTATAATTTTTATTTTATTTTTTGCTTGGAATCGATCTAACAACCTCAGATGTTCTTTATCTATTCTTTATCAAGAAAATTGGCAGAATATTGTAATATAAAAAATATTTTAATAATTTGATTTCTGATATTTTAATATTACTTCATGGGCCGTTGCCTTAGAGTAAAAATGTTGTTGGTTGGATTCCCAGTCTTCCTGTATAGAATTTGAATGAACTTCAGTTTTTCTCCCACAGTCCAAAAACTTTTATCAGGATTCATTCAGTAAATATTAAACCTCAGTTGTCCATAGGTGTGAATGTTAGTGTGAATGGATGTGGACTGGTCAAACCTCCAGGCTGTGACCTGGCCCTCATTAACTGACGGCTGGGAGTGATTAAGAAAATCCAGATTAAGGATTAGGCCGAAGACAATGAATGAAAAAATAAAACAAATCTGAAAAAAATATTAAGAAAATCCAGATTAAGGATTAGGATTTTTTTTTTAGGAAAAAATAAAAAAAATCTGAAAAAAAATGAAAATCAACACGTCTTACTGTTCTCATATTGACGCTTGTCGTCAGTGCGCCCTCTGGACATTTTCCAGTGAATTGTCCAGAAGAGTTCATGTCAGTGCATGTCTGGGAGCAGCTACACTCTCCCTTGTTGGTTAGTTTAGCTGTGAGCTAATGATCACGTCCCTTCTCCTTCTCCTCTCCTGTCACGCACCAGTGAGCACCACCTCCTCTCACATCCCTCACACAGAATATCAGACTGCTTTAATTATGCATGTGACTTCCCTTCAGTCGTCTCTTTAGGTGTGTGATTCATGGCCTCACTCTGTGACAAGTTCAGCACTTTCTCCTTCTTTCTTCCCCGGAGCTTCAATGATGTGATTAAGTTGTTACAGTGCTTCTTCAACGTTGTACTCATCGCCCTATCCTGTTTTCTTTCTTTCTCTTTTTTTTGTTAATTCCAGAGGCGCCTTCTCCATCGTGCGCCGATGTGTCAAGAAGTCCACCAGCCAGGAGTACGCTGCTAAGATCATCAACACGAAAAAGCTCTCAGCCAGAGGTGAGTGCTGACGATCTGCTCTGTGCTGAACACCGTGGACCAGGGTTTGAACCCACCACTGATAATGAATGATATGTCTGTGGTGAAGAATTTTTAACTCTTAATGCTGTTCAATAATATGTGAATAACACACACGTCATTCACACCAAAATACGTGAAGCTTCAAATACCACGGTGTCAAAGACCAACCGACCAGGCAAGGATTAACAAATTAATTCATTAATATTAATCAAGATTAACCGTGCGATCCCATCTCGGTAATTGTGATTTATCCATAGTTACCTTGTGATTAATCAGATTGAGAATTTTAAGGGCCGAGAGCGCCCTCTGATGGATGATGCTCAAAGTACTTGAGGGAAATTTAAACAGGATTTCAAATTTTAATGCTCCCAGCTCGGACTGATATTTGAACTTTGTATAAAAAGTGACTACCCTGGTGGGGACTACTGTCCACTCTGCTGTAGCTGCCTGGTTGATTTGGTTCAGCTTGGAGCTTGTTAGGGAGCAGAGCAATTTTTTACTTTATTTAAAATGTTTTTTTTTTCGTCCTTGTCAGTGGAGATTCCTTAGAAAATGCTGGAGGCGTCTTGTCAGAGCAGAACTGCTGCTGCTGCAGTGATTTAAACTGTACACAGAGGTTTACTCGGCCTCGGCCGTTGTCTGCGACCGTGTTTGGTTTGTTGTGGTTACTGTTGGTCTCTCAACAATGGCTGTACAGTACGTGCAGGTCTGAGAGCAGCATGTTCTGGATCAGATTAAAGGTATTCCTACTTTATGTTGGTTATTAAAACATTGCACTCCTGCATCAAATTGACAACATCTGGAAATGCAACGACAGATCCAAGTCAAGTTCCCCTGCTGACCTCTAGGGTAATTTGAACCTGATTGTCAGGTCAAAATATTCCGCAAAAATAATCTTCAGACTTGATCATCCTGCTCTGCTCTGCTGGGCAATAGTGAGTCAAAAAGTTCATAGACAGATGTTTTATTTTCAAAGGTGAAAAAAAAACAAATTCAAAGAAACAGGTTGTGACCCGTCGCTGAGATGAGAGTTTGTCTTGGAACCTTTTGACCACGTCTCTTATTCTGGGTGACTGTTTGTGTTTTACTCCTTTCTGATATTCCTCTCTTTGTGCTTAGTTTTCTGATTTGGGCTGTAACCGTGCGTGCGTTGTGACATTGGCATTGGTCTGGAGCTTGTAGCCCAGCAACAGTCGGGGTGAAACTCTTCATCCCAGAGAGTGTCTGGCTTCTGTGTCAGTCTGTCTGTGTGTGTGTGTGTGTTTTTGACTCTGACACAAACACACAACGCTGCTCTTTTTCACACGTACACACGCCGCTGTATTGTCAAGTCCTGACAACTGAAGCTGAGCGGCGAGAGTGTACGCCTGACTGCGCGGTGGAGTTAGAGTTTTTCTCTCACATTGACCTGGAAGAAATGGTTTTCACCGGGTTAAAGGATTAGATTAGTTAAGTTAGGGTGGTCATGGTCTGGAGCGTGGCCCAGTCTTAGGTCATTTTAGAAACAGGACGAGAAATCAGAAAATGACCCTGAATGCACCGTGAAACGTGAAACTCATAATTCATCCACAGCTGCCATTGATCAGATTAAACATGTTAGAAACATATCATTTTATTCTGCATATATTTACACTTCATATATATTATATTTATATATATACATATATATACATATATATATATATATGCTCTCACGGCAGCAGTAGCTTTAACATCATCAGAGATCAATACAGTATTTAGATTCTGATTCTTAGAGTTTGGAGTCGTCGTCCCGGCCGGTGTTTATCTGTCTCATTGAGACTGAGGGCTGTGAATCAGAACAGCACTGGAGAAACTCTCAAGGTCCTCCAGGCTGTGTCTGTGTGTGTGTGTTTGTGCGCGCTGTTATTTTTGGCTGCAATTATGTGTCAAACTGAAAAGTGAGCGTACTTCAGCCGTCCTATTAGGTGAGGCCTTGTGATGTCAGAGAAACAGGGGGTTAGCAGCAGCAGCAGGAGGAGGAGGAGAGGAGATGAAGAGGCTGGCGGCATTTGTCCCACTGTTGAATTATTGAGGTGCAAAGCTGCTCTGCTCTCACTGCGCACACACACAGGAGGGAAGTGGACCCCCACTCTTCTTCTGTTTGCTTCCTCTGGTCTCGTTCTATTTTTATAACCACGTTTTTTTCTGTTTACTCAAACTTCTTCTCTCCTTTTTTTTTTTTTCTTTTGTCTCATCTTTTCCCGTACTCTGGGGTCCACACGTCCTGTGTGTATCTGTTTCAGGCCTGTTTTTTTTTTTTTTTTTTTCAGGGGGTGGTGGTGGGGTGCACTCACTGGAGGCTGGTTGGACGAAGGGCAAATAGACGTAGCAGCAGTAGCAGCACAGCGTGGTGAATGTTTAATAGGCCCAACTGTGAATTTTTAATGACTGAGAGAAAGAGTGAGAGTGGTGTACGGGACGAGAGAGACGTCGACATGAAAAGAAGAAAATAGTCCGAGTGATGAACGCTGGACTGAAACACATCTGCAGTGTCTCGGTCAGTTCACAGCACGCACCGCTACGCTGCTCATCAAGGCTTTTATACTGCGTCTGTGTCTGCGTCTGTGTGTGTGTGTTTCCAAGACTCTTCCTGTCATATATAAACCGTGTCTTTCTGCTCCCCTCTGAAGCATATGGCACCATGTCGGAGCCAAGGTCAATAAAATTTTTATTTGTCATATAGAGCTGAACACCAAAGGAATCCTGCTTCACATTCAGATCCTGTTCTTTGTCTACTGTTGAATATGCTGCGGAACGTGTCGGAAAAGGGGAGAGAAAACGACAACATCACAGGGTAGACTTTTAGCAACACGAGGCTAACCTTTAGCTGAATTTAGTGACAAATCGTTGGCTTCTTTAAGGTACATTTTAGCTTTAACCTTTGTGGCGGCTAATTCAGAAGTTTGTATTTCGGGGTACATGTTACGACATATTTCTCAACAGCTATAAACTTTGGTCAAATATATTTTGTTGGACCGTGGTTCCAGGATGTGGTTACATATTTGAACAGTGTTTATCGTAGGAGCTGAAACTGCTCCCGGCTCAGGACACGAAGCACGACAACCCAAGTCCTCGTCTTTTTCTCGCTCCCCCCGATTTGACCCACGCTGGTACGGTCTGTACAGACGGTATTAAAAACCCAATAAAACTTGGCAGCGCGATGAATGACTAATTGTAAAAGTATGTTACAGAGAATGCCAGAGTCTAAAAATATCAGTAGAAAACAAAGGCAGCTCCAGCAGAGTGTTAGCTGCCTGCTGCTTTATTTTTACCCTATATCAACTTTATTACCCTGAGAATGTTTATTTTTACGTTCTTACAACCCACTTACAGAATCCTGCTACTGCGTACGTTTTCGCCCACGGTGGGAGTCTGCCCACGTTCACCGCCTAAACTCTGCACCGCGGCTCCTCCCTCTGCTGATCAGCCCTCCACTCTCAGACCCTCACTTCACTTCATCATAGTCTCAGTCAGAGCTCCATCATCACTCGTTTATCCTCCACGGCGCGGAGGGTCGAGGAGGAGCGTCCTTCATCTGCGCAGACATTCTATCATTATTAGTTTTATAACGGGGGTCATCTCTACTAAGCCTCGTGTTTTTGCCGGACCAGTTGCGTGATATTTGACACGAGACTTTGCTCACTGACTATGTAAAGACCTGACAAAATGTAATTAAAAAAAAAAAAATGATGCCATTGAGAAAGTGGTTCTAATTGGCTGCCACCGTAAACCTGGCTTCTGTTAACTAATGTAATGTTGCTGTATTTTTCCAACCAGCGTCTATCGTTGAAGTAAAAACTTACCCATAAAAGCACATTGAAGCTGAGCCTCAACAGGGTTTAATACGCTCTGCTGCTGCGGGAATGTTGAAGAAGAAAGTTAAATCAGACCCTCTGTTATAGACAAGTAAGTTGTGAGAATTGACGCTAACACCGGCCTACTCCATGAGGTTCAGGGGAGAAGCATCATCACAAACGTGCGTCCAGATTTGTCCTTCAGCTTGGCAGGAGCTCTGGTCTTTATTGACTCTGGACAATGTCCACGTCTGACGGTGCCACTTATCGACTGTGGTGTTTTTCTTTGGCTTTTTCCCCAGAAGTCTGGAGTAATGTATTTAAGGCTTTAGTTAATCGTTATTTTTGATCCAGATTTGAAGGGCAGTCTGTTTGATTGATAGTTATCGTAAAAGTTACGTTAGTTTAAAGCACATGATTTTTTGCAATTTATCGCAAATTATCTCATTGTTATTGTCTAAGAAATGAAGTGATGCGTTCATACAGTACTTTGCGATAACAATAAAGAAGCGTCACTGCTAATGTTTGCATTGATTAATTCTTTAACACAATAATAAATCGTTAACTTTTTATGCCCAATTTAGTTTAATTTGAGATCAAGAAAAATTATCTCTGTATTTTAATGTTAATTATTTACCATTTATTGATAACAAAAAACACAACGTCGATGTACACAGATTCATGTATCTGTATTTGTTCAGGCTGCATGAACCCCGTTTGCAGACACGCGTACACACCCACTCACACACACATACACCACTCAGTTTAAAATTGGCCGCAGTAATAACAGCTCACAGGTAAGTAAGTTTGCAGCGGTGAAGTAGTACACGCCACTAAATATAGAGGATTTTATTGGGAGTATTTATTACAGCAGTTGGAGAACGGAGAAGGCAATAAAAACGCCTTTACACACGGGAGCGGCGTCCTGCAATAATACGAACCTCTGTGAGTGTTTGTCAGTTCAATCACATCACGGCAGCAGTGCCGACGTCTGTCGTCTGTATTTCCCACCTGTTCGCTCGTCTCCTGAAGGTGTCGTGTTTCCTACGGAACTCATTCACAGATAAAACAGACGATGAAAGGAGAGAACAGACTGAAGATCCTGGAATCTCACAGAACCTTGACTGTACTTTATCATAGTCAAAGTCAAAACAATATTTTTACATTTTCCAATATAACACATTAATATATATATTTTTTTTAATTCTAAAAAATGTCTAAAAAAACTCAGCTCAAACTAAATACTCTTTTTTTTCTTTATTTCTTTGTGCTTGAAACGTCTATCCTTGGCTGCCTTTGTGGTAACAGGACATTTTTCAAAATTATATCATTTATTTTCTGCTGCATAATCCTTTTTATGGAACTAAACCCCAGCAGTCATTAGGCGGGGGGGGGGGGGGGGGGGGGGGGGGGGGGTCTGAGGAGGGTTGGTTCACCCCAGGCAGCTTGTCAGTCTATGAAAGGGCCTGGGATAAAGACGAACAATTATTTATTCTGGCATTTGTCTCTTTAGTGAATGATTAGCGTGATCTGAGCTTCATTGTTTTGGAGTTTTTCTTTGAAAACGCCTTATCGGTTTTCAGAAAATGAATGTAGGTGGCTGCAGACAAACTCCCTCAAAGTCAGTGGACGCCTTCACTCTAACAGACACAAAGGTCAAGTCCATAAAACCCACTTCGTTCCCCGGTAAAGCCTCCCTCTCACCTACCTCATCCTCCGACGTCTCTTTCCTCTCTTTTCTCACGCTGTAAACGCCCACCTCTTATTGGATCTGTCTGAACCCCACTCTTCAGCCCTTCTTCCCAGGGAGGATGTTGGGGGGGGGTGACTGGTGCAGTGATGGTGCAGTGATGGGGCTCGTTACCCTGTTGGTCCGACTGAACTTTTCTAACGAAGAGATTCGTCTGCAGGGACTGAAGGACTCTGTTAACGGCCTTCCGCAGTGGGTCAGATAAGGTCTGTTTAAGACGCCTTTAATGGCCTTGGCTTAACACACTCAGTGGGATGCACACACACACACACACACACACACACACAGACATGCCACACACAGACACGACACACACTCTGACGTAGAGCTGTGTCTTCTACCATAATGCAGAGCAGAGGGCGTGATGGTGGAAAACAAAGACGAGGCGCGAGACGGATACGCAGTGTGACACTGCATGTTTCGGTTGAGCCACTACAATATTTCAGACCCCCCCCCATCCACACACACACACACACACACAGAAAAAAATAGAAACTATGACTCAGCGACTGTTCTTCTCTTAATCACGAGTTCGACTTGAGCTCTCTTCACGAGTCCAGGGCCGACAGTGTGGGGTCAGAACCAATAACAGTTCATCGGACAGTGAGCTGGAGAAGGATGTTTTTCTTTCTCACATCCTCAGGAAGTCAAGAACGGCACCACCCGATTTTACAAGTCTTTTATTTTTTCTTTCTTTCTTTCTACCGACTTTTGTTCCCAAGTCCTTTTACTAACAAGAAGCAGCTTCACCTCAGGTGTGAAAGGCTGCCGTTGTTCGTCCGGTCCTGCTTTTGTTGGAGACCAACAATAGGCCCATTCTGAGTTGTGTTTCCAGTGTAGGTGCTGGTGCCAGGCTCCAGGGACGGTGCCAGGAATTCAATGCATTTTCACTGTAGGTGCTGGGAGCCCAGGGACTGTTTCTGCCCCCAAATAGTTCCAGCTCAGAAGGTGGGGTCATCAGGATGTTCAGGAACTGATCAAGTGGAGTTAGTCTTTTTTTGCCAGTGATAAATTGACCAATGAGAAAGCACTTTGGTCTTTATCTGAAATGTGAATTTTTTGTTTCTCTCTGTGGGTCTCATCACTCCTGAACTAAATCAGTAAAACAGCCTCAGTTATTGCAGTATTTCTGTACTTTTTACTCTACAAACTATAGTAAAAGGTCGAACTCGAACCTGGTCGTCGTGGTCTGTGGTACAGTGCAATGGAAATGGAACCTCAACACTTCTCACACAGCTGTCGGTGAAACATTGTTCAGTCACAATCACGTTGTGAAGTCGAGGCAGACGTTACAATCGTCTTGTCGTGGGGCCCAGATGAATCCTCCGCGGAGCGTCCCTTACGTCACGTCACCAAATGTTTCCCAGCCTTGATGTAGTCGCGTAGCAACAGAGCTGCAGCTGGACATGGTACAGATAATTTACAGCGTGCAATATAACAGACTAAGCTGTTTAATTGAGTTGAAGCCCATTAGCTGTATTCCTCAGACGTTTTAGTGTCTTCTACTGCCATCTGCTTAAAAAAAAAAAAGAAATTGTCAGCAGTAGGCAATGAATCCTGGGGAATTTTCCCTATGTTGGCAGGGAACGATCTACTTGTTGGATTTTCTTTGTTGATTCAACAATGGACGGATGCATTGGTTATAGCCTTTTTTTTTTTTGTCAAAAATGAACACACGCATACAATTCACCATATATACTGTTCTAAGTTCTTATCTCACTAACCTCCTGTCAGCACAACATTCAAGTTATAAATATTGTGCTTATCTCACTAACCTCCTGTCAGCACATCTTTGACAACATTCAAGTTATAAATATTGTACTCTGAACTAACCATGATTGCGTGAATGTGAATGGTTATAAATGAAGCCCGTAAGCAGTAGAAGACGATGGGATAAAAAGTTGATCTGCTCCAGAAGACATGAGACCCAGCTTTGGTCCACTGACCCTAGATTGACCCCACAGACTGAACCCAGTTTTTGATGCTGCTGGCAAAGAAGTTCAAGTGGAGAAAAGATTAGAGTTCACTCAGTGAAGTCAAATCTCTCTCTCTCTCCTGCTGTCTCTTTGCGTCTGTCTCTCTACTCAGTGATGCAGTGTTGACCTGGTCAGTCTGATTCAGGGCTTTGGTCTATTTATAGTCTGGTCTGATCTGGGCCTGATCTGACCTGACCTCTCTTCTGAGTGAGTCCTGACTCAGTCATTTACAGACTTGAACATATATGACATTACATCAACATCTTTAAGATCTACAGGCAAAAAAACATCTGGGTCGAGGACCACAGGTGGTCCGTGTTGCCTATGAATATTTCAAAGCTATTTTCAGTTGTGCTGTTTTATTGTAATTTTTTTTACCAATTCTGTATCTTTGTATTATTTCTTAAAAAATCAGTAACTGTTAGACTTAGTTTCAACAGTTTTTTCAAATTTTTAACGACAAAATTTGTCGACTTTTTTTTTTTTAACAGTTTAATTATACCTAAGGGCCGACACTCACTTACGCTGCTCCTCACACAGAAAATACGTTTGTGTTTTATTTTTGCCACTGTATTAATACTCTCACTCTGCCTTGTTCTTTTTTCTTTTTGTAGACGGAACTTTTTTTGCTGCGTTCTATTGAGAACTCTGTGACTTGTCTGTAGATGTTTAGCTGCCAACAGTGTCTACCATCACCAGCTGAACAGAGCCAGAATCTTGGGCCAGCCTTGAGAAATTGTTCTATTTTTGCAGAACGGTCCAACTTCTAAGAATAAAATCAGCCTAAAAATCCCATCTGGCTCAGAGAGAAGGATCTGGAATGTCTGCTGTGTGCTTCCAGTTCTCTCGCTGACCCTAGTGAAATGAGTGTGAGAGAGATCTGAACTCTGCCGGGTTACTGAAGTGAATGCTCTTGTTTGATTGGCTGACCCTGGAGGTCAGAGGCACAGGGTCAACTTTAATATCTCTCAGTTAATATGATTCACGTTATTAAAACTGTAATTTAATAATAATATCAACAGACGGATAATTCTCACTCAAACCTATGCAGTACTTGAGCAGAGGTCAAAGTTCAGCGAGGCCTCCACTGCACCAAAGGCTTCTTTATGCCCTGCCTTTGTACTTGACTCCACAATGACAAGGACAACATTGAAAAGACAAAGTTTTTTAAAAAGTTGTAAAAAAAATAAATAAAATAATAAAAAAAAGCTAAATAAAAAAAAAAAATTAAAATAAAAAAAAAAGCTAAATATGTGACACAAAGCTGTAGGTTAGCATAAAAAAAAAAAAATTAAAATAATAAAAAAAAGCTAAATGTGTGACACACAAAGCTATAGGTTAGCATCAAAAATGTCAAGAAAAATTGAATTACTTTAATTAAATAACTAGCCTAAGACAGAGTTCCCGTGTGTCTTGGTTCTGACGTGGACTTCACTGCCTGTTACAGTGGTTTTACTGAACTGATAAAACTGACTGACTGGTTTACTGACAGAAGGATCGACCGCTAATTCCTCTGGTCAATTAGCAGCAGTCGAGCTAACTCTGCTGACTCATCACCACATCATCAGGATCAGTGGTTCTGTACTTCCTCTCTGTCCTCTTAAATCAACCTCAGGTTTTTATGAGAACAGACTGTGTGTGTGTGTGTGTGTTACATTTCTGTGTCTGTCTGTGACCGGATCAAACAGGAACACGTGCTGCGGACAAATGAAGTCCGCCTGTTCACTGTGGTCAGCAGCTGTCTGGGCTTTTTATTTATTTATTTATTTATTTATTTTTCCAGACAGAATCTTTTGTGAACTTTGACCTTTAATACGGTGCAACAGACGATGTCATTTCTTTTTCTGTCTCTGTGAATTAGTCTTAATGTCAGTCTGTCAGTGCTCCAGGTTCAAGATTTATTTCCAGTCAAGATCAGAGTAGATTAGATTAGGATTAAGGTTAGGAATATATTTGTATTATATATTATTATTAGTTATATTATATTTGTGTTGGCGTACTATTCTTCTTACTCTATAACCTACTATGAATATAACTGTACTTTTACTATTTATTATTTATGTATTTTGTACGTTTACTGTAGCTCCATTGTTGATTGACCGACTCAAATTGTAAATTGTGGATAAAAGTCTCTGCTAAATTATTGTAGTGTAATGTATTTGGTCAGGGTTAAGGCTGGAGTATTGTGTGTGTGGTTATTGTGTTTTTGTGTTTTCGTTTTACTTCATACGTCACTGATTTCACTCTTTGTGTCTTTAAAAATACGGCTCATCAACCTCTGTTGTTGATGTTTCTGCTCTGTTTCATCCTCAGATCATCAGAAGTTGGAGCGAGAGGCCAGAATCTGCCGTCTGCTGAAACATGCCAACATAGGTGAGAAAATAAGTGGAACTTTAGGGGCCTATTCATTAACATGTGTATGTATATATTTATATATACATATATATGTTTGTTCTGAGTCCTGTGTGTTTGCTGTCGTTCTGTCCACGTCACGTTTTGTCTCCTCTTCCTTTAAACTCTCTTGGTCTGATGGAAACTGTGAATTAGTTTTATAATGTAACTTTGTAAAAAAAACACACACACACTGACTGTGTGTGTTTTTTTTGTTTTTTTTTGTGTGTCTCCTCCTCAGTACGACTCCATGACAGTATCTCAGAGGAAGGATTCCACTACCTGGTCTTTGACCTGTAAGTCACACGGACAAATACACACAGACAGTTTTTGAGTTTACGTACAATACAAGTCATTTAGCACCACAGGATTTCTGATGTAATTTTTCTTTTGTTTTCCATCTTAGAACAGGTCATTTAGAAAGTCTTTGAGCAAACATTACCGGTTGTTCAACTTCAGGAAGTTGTGATGAAACTCACAACTTCCTAAATAAACAATATACATACAGCATATGGTAGCAGTTTGTTTTGTTACGGTTCACGTATCTAAAAGGTACAATAAATGTCAGTCAGCCTTTGACTGTTCAGTCACAGGATCACGTTAATCTGTGAGTTTTTATCAAACTCAAAGTCAGGCTTTGTTGAACCACTAATGTCCATCGACTACAGAGGTGAGAAGTTTCTCTTCCAGACGTAGTTTTACAGTACGTCCTTGTAAAGTTTTACACACAGATCAGCAAACACTCAGGGGACATCTATAAAAAAATCAACATCCTCCTGGGTGTCAGCCGTCAGACGACTTGTCATGATGTTTTCTGGAGTGTGTGCTGGAGAACGCCTCCTCCTCAGTGTCACGTCTCGTCTGCAGAGTCACCGGAGGAGAGCTGTTTGAAGACATCGTCGCCAGAGAGTATTACAGCGAGGCCGACGCCAGGTACAATTCATCATCATGTGTGTGTTTGTGCATGTCGTGAACTTTTTTTTTTTTCACACGTGCACAAGGTCAAACTTGAAGCTGCTGGATAAAAAAAAACGAACTGCACTAAAGTGTGCCGTCTGTCAGTGTGGCTAATGTTGTCTGTGGTCTGGCAGCAGCAGCGCTGCTGTGACACCTCCCTCAGCGGGTGTAAACATCCTCTCTGAATGTGTGACTCAGCCATTGTAGCTGTAGTTTCATTAATAAATAATCCCAGTCCTGGAAACTCACTTTGACCTGAAAAGTTTTTTAACTGAGGTCAGAGAAGAGGAGTAGGTGATGAAGAGAATTGTTTCTTCCCTGGTACCTGGACTAGTCCCAGTCCGTGGTTCATTTGACACGGTCCAAGAAGAACATGTCTCTTAAGTATTAAAAAAAAATTTTAATATTTTGAAATTATAATAATATCAAAATAAATGTGATTTGAGAGACGTTTAATTTCAAACGTCCTTGTTTTTAAGTTTTTGGTGCCTGTGCTTGTTTTCCCACAATCCCACCACACACTCCCATCAGATACAGTCAGTAGGGTAGTCAGTGGATGGATGGATGTATGATGGATGGTTCCTTGGTTGATTTACACCTGTATGAAGTCGACCAGCTCTGGTTCTTTGACCCGTTCTCTTTGTCTGGTTCTGTGACTCTGTGACAGATGTTCCCTCCTCCTCGTTCTCATCCGTCTCTGTCTCTTTCAGCCACTGCATCAATCAGATCCTGGAGAGCGTTAGTCACATCCACCAGCATGACATTGTGCACAGGGACCTGAAGGTGAGTTATCACAGCAGCAGCAGGGGAACATGGGACATCAGACAAGGCTGTCTGAGAAACGGTGCTAAGATACGAGCAGAGATTTGTGACGTGGATAAAAACACACACACACCCGGTGGTACAGACGTCATCCAGTGACGTTAAGGACAACTTAAGCGAAGA